ATTTTTCTTTTTTTTTCTCCAGGTATAATAAACAAAAGAAGGGCTTTATATATAAGATTATTACACCCAAATCACCCCCATCTAACAGATCTTGACGTCTTATTACAAAATAAACCTCACCTTTTGAATTATGTTTACTCTGAATGAACAAAAGTTCTATTTTATTTATCTTTTGTCGCGAATAATACTTTTTCGTTAATGTTATAATGTCTGAATTTTGAATTTTCTGCCGAAATAAACACTAGCCGTTATTCTTCTATTAATTGTGCTTCAAAAAGCACTGTTTTTCAAGTTTCAAAAAAATTGATAGCTATAGCCTTGGCTTTTCGGTGAAAATATGAATTTTATTGGAAAATTCAAAAAAGAACTTTTTCGAGCAAAATTAATAGAAAAATATCGGCTAGTGCTTATTTCGTCGGAAAACTCAAAACTAAGGCATTATAGTATTAACGAAAAATATTATGAACGTGGAAAAGCTAAAAAAGTTAACTTTAGCTAACCCAGAGAAAAAACAAAAAAAAGGTGGGGTTTATTTTATAAGAAGACGTTATAATCTTTTAGATGTTGATATTTGGTTTGAATAATCATATTTTTAAAGTTATTCTTTTTTTACAATATAACCGAAGACAGAAAAAACACAACAAAATCGGTTAAGGTTTGTCGGATGAGGTTAAGGTTTGTTAGACGAGGTGAAGGTTTGTCGGATGAAGTTAAATTTTGCTGGGATGAGGTTAAGGTTTGCTAGATGAGGTTAAGTTTTTCTGGGATGAGGTTAAGGTTTGTTAGATGAGGTTAAGTTTTTCTGGGATGAGGTTAAGGTTTGCTAGATGAGGTTAAGGTAAGTTAGACGAGGTTAAGGTTTGTTAGACGAGGTTAAGGTTTGTCGGATGAGATTAAGGTTTGCTATATGAGGTTATGGTTTGTCGGATGAGGTTAAAAATTGCTGGACGAGGTTAAAGTTTGTTAGACGAGGTTAAGGTTTTTCGGATGAGGTTAAGGTTTGCTAGACGGGGTTAAGGTTTGTCGGTTGAGGTTTCTTAGATGAGGTTAAGGTTTCCTGGATGAGGTTAAGGTTTGTTGGATAAGGTTAAGTTTTGCTGGGATGAGGCTAAGGTTTGTTGGATGAAGGTAAGGTTTGCTAGATGAGGTTGAGGTATGGTAGACGAGGTTAAGGTTTGTTAAAGATGAGGTAAGTTAAGGTTAAGGATTGCTAGATGAGGCTAAGATTTGTTAGACAAGGTTAAGGTTTGTCAGATGAGGTTAAAGTTTGTGGGATGAGGTTGAGGTTTGTCGGATGAGGTTAAGGTTTGCTGGATGAGGTTAAGTTTTGCTGGGATGAGGTTAAGTTTTGCTGGGATGAGGTTAGGGTTTGTTGGATGAGGTTAGGGTTTGCTAGACGAGGTTAAAGTTTGCTAGACGAGGTTAAGGTTTGTCGGATGAGGTTAAGGTTTCCTAGACGAAGTTAAGGTTTGTCGGATGAGGTTAAGTTTTGCTGGGATGAGGTTAAGGTTTGTTGGATAAGGTTAAGTTTTGCTGGGATGAGGTTAAGGTTTGTTGGATGAGGGTAAGGTTTGCTAGATGAGGTTGAGGTATGGTAGACGAGGTTAAGGTTTGTTAAAGATGAGGTTAAAGTTTGCTGGGATGAGGTTAAAGTTTGTCGGATAAGGTTATGGTTTGTCGGATGAGGTTAAGTTTTATTATACGAGGTTAAGGTTTGCTGGATGATGTTAAGGTGTGTTAGACGAGGTTAAGGTTTGTCGGATGAGGTTAAGGTTTAGGTTAGGTTAGGTTAGGGGCTTATTTCGTCGGAAAACTCAAAACTAAGACATTATAGTATTAACGAAAAATATTATGAACGGGGAAAAGCAAAAATATTAACTTTAGCTAACCCAGAGAAAAAACAATACAAAAAAAAGTGGAGTTTATTTTATAAGAAGACGTCATGGCCTTTTGGATGTAGGTATTTTTTTTAATAATCTTATTTTTAAAGCTATCCTTGTTTACAATATAACTGAAGACACAAAAAAAAACCAGTAAAATCGAAGCTAGCCTAAATTTTCATATTAGATTTTGAAATAAGTATTGGGAATTTTCGTGATGTGGGCTTTTCAAAAATATAATTATTTCTTCGAAAATTATTGCGGTTAATTGTATACCAGGGGACAAAATTAGCATTTCCCTCAATTATAACGCACCCAATGTTAAAAATTCGTGTTTCTTGACGGGAATCTCGTACCACATTTTAACCACTATATCAATAAATCAAATATAAATGTTTTCAAAAGTTATTTTTAATATATTATCGATAATACTAGTTTCATTTATCTTTGAGGATGAAAGTTTAATTTTTTTATAAATTCTCTTTATGAAACATGAGAGTGAAATATTCAAATCATCATCACAATATTATTAAGTGTTTCATTCATTTGGCTAAAATAATTATAACAATTGTAAGTAATTGTAACAAAAGATCCCGCTTCTTAGGCGTTAAAGAAATTGGACGAAATATTAATTAGACCATAACTGAGTTACCTTTTTATTGAAGCTGTAGTCCGCATTTTCCACCGGTTAATGGGTCGAGAAGTCTGATAGTTCAGATGTACTAAAACAATATTATACTTGTCTGGCGGGGAGAAGATTACATTACTTTCGAGTCACGTAGGGTACTGCGCAAAAGTACACAATGGGCTATCTGTACTCTGTCCAGAGTGGGGAACTGGAACCCCAGATTTTAGCATTTTATGTCCAGGAACTTAATGCTGACCCATAGGGGGACTAATCGCACAGTTTGTTTGTTTACAATTAAGCACAAAGCTACACAATGGGCTATTTGTGCTCTGCCCACCACTGGTATCGAAACCCGGATTCTAGCGTTGTAAGTCCGCAGACATACCGCTGTGCCACTGGGGGCACTAATCGCACAGATTCACTAGCTTTCAATATACAATTATGAACACATATATAGTATTGTTTGTTTTTTATTTCGCGCGAAGCTACTCGAAGGCTTTCTGTATTCATTGTCCCTACTTTTGGGGTGATAGGTAAGATAGACAGAGAACACCATCTACCACCAGCAACTCTTGGACTACTCTTTAACAATGAACGTTATAACGCTGCGCGACTGATATGTCCTGTTCGGCGACGGGTTTCGAATCGAACACCTGGACCCTGTAACAACCCAGTCAACACATGTATAAATAAAAATAATTTATTTAAGAATAATTTTTACATTCGAAGAAAACCAATCAAAAGAAAAAAAAATTATACATGGAAAATCCACGTTCCCAATTTATTAAGTTTGAAAGCTAGCTAGTAAAAGTAAGTTTATATTTTGATGCTCTATTCATATTAACAGCACTTCCTGTAATACGTATTTTATTTCCTGTTTATAACGTGTTAACACGGTGTAGCGTAAAACGAGAAACCAATCATCTTTAAGATAAAGGCAATTCAATAATAAACTATTAACCACTGACTAGTAGGAAAAACTTAACATAAATAATCAATTTTAGTAAAGTATAAAACATTATATAAAGTAAAAAAAAAAAGTTTCACTTCAAAAAATTCCCGTAAAAAATTATTTTCAATTAAACTTTTGATTTTAATTTTAGTGACTATACGGTTAGGAAATTTGACACTAGGGTTACTAGAAAAACATCGTTTCTTGCACACATCAGCAAGCTTTTCAGTATCCATTATTGCTGTTGTTTAGCTGGAAATGTCTGTACTCGAACATCTAACATCAAAAAGGCAGTAAAATAGCAAGAACTGGTAGTTGATGTCCGGCAGTATAACAAATTACAGAGCTTTGGAAATTCACCTACACCTGTGATCACATGATTTTTCAAATTAGTGAGGCTAATACACAAGATGAAGATGAATGGTTGGATGCAATTTTATTACAAATTATTCAAAATTTCGTTGTAAAAAGAAAGACCTTTGTAATTATGCAATCATATAGTGAAATTATTGAATTCATTATTCATAGACTGTAATTTTAGGAAACTTTATATTTACTGAATAAAACAGAATGAACAGAAAATTTGTATGAACAAATCCCGCTTTCTATGAACTATTGTGACCAAAATTAAATCCATAAAACAAACTTGCATTTTTTTCTTTTTTTTACCATAAATGCTAAATTCTAAACTAAACAGCCTTAAAGCATTGTTAATTAGATATATGAAATATTTCCAAGGTTATTTTTATCTTCATAATGTTAACTTTTAGATCAATTGTAAATGTTTATAATTTAATAAAGAATTATCTCAACAAAGCTGATTAATCAAAGACATAAATAACTTTCATTTATCTGATTTCAAACCCACATGAAACTTATAAAAACAAAATGATATTGTGCTAAATCCTGAACATAAGGTAAAAGAACAGATGGGGGTGGGTTGAACAATCAACCCAATATTCTAAAAATTCCACTATCTTGTGATTTAAAAGAAAAGGTTTGTTTATTTGAAGTTAAGCACAAAGCTACACAATGGGCTATCTATGTTCTGCCCACCACAGGTATCGAAATCCAGTTTCTAACATTGCAAGTCTGCAGACATACTGCTGTACTACTGGGGGAGGGGCTTTAAAATAAACACTTGACTTTAATTCAATTCACTTAAATTCTTTGTGTAGAAAAAAGGTTCATGTTTATCTGGGAAAAAAAAACCTCCACTCTGTAGTGCTGGCTATGCCCATGGATATACTTGGCACTGCAGCTATATCTCTGTTCACTTAGCATGAAATATGATATAGTAAGCATTTCAGTTATATCTGTCTACTTAGCAAGTCGAGTATCAAGCATGCTTGAGTCTCATCATTTTATATACCTGAACCAAAGACTTAATTAAATCAAATTTTGTACACACTTTTTATATAATATCTTGTTTGTGATTTAAAAAGTTATAGAATTTGACTCAATATTTGTACAATATGTTAGGTTGTTGAAATTTTCTTGTGAAATGCTATTTCTAAGAAACATTAACTCTATATGCACATTTTTTTGTAGGATTGTTGTTCGTACTTTACTATATTTTATTGCAAATATGAAACATACAGTCTTAAATCAACACAACAGATTACAACATTACTTGCTGTGCTTATAATCCCTCATAATTAGTACACTGACTTTTTAACTGAAGTGATCATAACAAATTCATGGAATTTAAATAGTTCTCAAACTGTAATATTAGCCCTTTTCTTAGCTGACAATACGAGTACGTACGTAGTTACAATATCAAGATGGTGATAATACCATATTCAGTTATGTATATATATATACACATTTATAATCTCAGTCATCAAGAATATTGTAGATTCCCTTTTTAATTACACACTAAAACCTTATATCAATACATGTGAAAATCTTTAAACAAAAGTACCATTCTGTCTCGGTTATCACTTTACTGTTTGTACTAAAGTGTTAAAGTAAAGAGTGAGAGAGACCTGTAAATGACTCCTTTAACAAACAAAAACTGTACCGTGATTCATAGTTTTCGTTAAGATGTCTGTAATGATGGGATGATACGAGATTCTCCACTCAATACCCTTCAAGATGACTGCCTAAGTTATTTGTTTTTACAATCTACTTGCTGCATGGATACAGATTGTCAGAATTTACGAGTCCAGCTAATACACTGTTCCGTTTCCGTCATATAGCTTTTGCAAGATCTTCAGAGACACTTAAACCACAATACGTTAATAACTCAGCATTACGGTGTTATACTGTTCTAAGGGATATCTTACAAAATACCTCTCCTAGTTTCAAGTTTAAAACAGTGTTAAAACTTGTCAACACTCTGCTACTTTCCATTGTAGACATGTACAATTTATCAGCATGGGAATAAAACATCTTATATGGAGCTTAGGTCATTTTGTCTCATTTAGAAGGTCTTTAAGTAATCAATCATTGCATAAGGTTCTTCAAACTTCATATTTCCTCATAGTTTCTCAAAAAAAAAATGTAATTATTTTTTAGTTAAATATTTTGCACTAGAAGAAATAAAATAAATTAATATATTTACTGTTTTCACCACAAATATTCATTACAATTACAAAGAAACTCACTCTTGCTGTGTACTTAAAAGTTCTCTTTTTTCTTAAAAGGTTAGTCCATCAAAAGTTATACATCTGAGGTCAAGCAGATATATTTTCATTAAAACACGTTATCATAAGATTTTTTGAGTCGTTCAAAAGTTAGAACAGCAGTTTATACCTCTGAAAGCCGTAGAACTGTATATCCTGAAAATGTTTCCTCTGTCCAATATACCCTTTTATAATAAGGTAACCATTAAAAACATATGTAACCATTATAGTATGCACAAAGAAATATGAATTATTTAAAACAATTATAATCAGAAATAAAAACAGTTATTCTAAACAAATAAGGAGTTATCAGTGGTAGTTACACAAACGTACACTCCTAAATTAAAACAAAGACACTTTATGTACAAGGTAGTATTGAAAGTATACAACGAAATTGGCACTTAAACTGTTAAACATTTGTACGAAAAATATGCTATTATTCAGATACTAATTTAACTAAATATCTTAATGGAATGAAAGAACGGTAAAAGCAGTGAGTATCAACTGGAAATTGAAAGTAACTTTCAATACAGGCAGGGATAATATGACAGTAGGCAAAAAAAAAAAGAAAATTACACTTCCCCCCATAATAAGCCAACCCACCTTAACAAGCATCAAATGAGAGCCAATAAACGCCTTCCAATATAAGAATGAGAAAAATATAAGCCAATTATTTCAAGTCATTAATTGTCTGAATAAAATGTTCAATCACTTGTTACAAAACTTTCTACCTGTAACAATTCTTCATCTTATGAATGATTGAATCAACACCTACTAAAGACAGGTAACTAAGTTACTTTACATTTGAAATTAAATATATCCTATCAAGATCATTCAAATAATCCTAAATGTACTCACCGTCTCTAATCCTAGCACATAAATAAATTATTAGTATTTCAGAAGTTCGGGATTCTCAGGAGAAACATCATCTTCAAGTTGAACATAACTATTAATTCTACTCTATAACATCACAACCAAACTTATCCACTATACTATAAACAAAAAGGTTTTGTGAAAATTACTGGATTAAACAGATTGTTCACAATAATGACAATTGATTATAATCTACAGATGAGTAAAATTACATACTCAACAAATATTCTTCTTTTACAATTACCATCCAACACTGTCGGACTTCTCGGTAATATTGTTATGGTAATAATCTACTTAGAATTCCACCAGCAACCTTCCAACACTTAAAAATTACCCTTCCTCTAACACTGTACCTTCCAACTTTTTTCTCTTTGAGAATCCCTTACTTTTGAATGTGTTGAATTTATTGAACATAAAAAGTTTTTGTAACACATAGAATGTAACACTTTTACAATAAAATCTCATATTGTAATCAGTGTTAGTACCCAGTAAAATTGAAATATAATTCTTGGAACATAATGAAAAAATTCAAAACAAAACCATTTAACTAAAACTAATGAGACTTCTGAACTTGTTTTGAAGAACACGGTGCTTTAACGTTCGACACAACAGAAGAGAGAGAGAGATAGTCTTAAATCTGGCTCTGCATCCAGCTATTTCCTTACATAAATATTTTAAATAATTTGAAGGAAATTAAAATATTGGTAAGAACTGTAGAACCAGGAAAGTAAAAAAAGATGCCATTACCAAATATTTCTCTCAGAATCCTCTTTTGAACCCCTACAAGTTTTAGAACCACCTGTTGGGAAATGCTGCTCTAACAATATACTTTTCTAATAATAGTATCTTTCTCCAAAATTAATTTCCTATTGGTAACGAATATTCATCCTCCCTAGTTCTAAGCTTGTCAGATTGTTGAGTGCAAACTCTCTAGTAATAATCTCTTCATATTATCAAGAAATCCTATTCAGTCATCTTTATCATACTGCTGAATAACACCCTTTCCTATTGTCTTCATAGTGATGAATGGAAATCTCCTCCAGTCTTCAGTTTTTTCATATGAACTAAGAAGAAACCTTCTGAAGTTATTGGCTTTTCCATGCTGTCGTGTAGAAATCCTCCCTAGTTATTGCCTTTTAAAACTGCCGTGTAAAAACACTCCCAAGTTATCATCTTTTCACAGTGCTGTCTAGAAATACTTCTCAATTATAATTTCTTTACAATGTAAGAAGTAGGTTATCCAAATTCATAGTTTTCTCACAGATGACAATCATCCCCTTATCAATTGTAACAACCCACCACTGCTTAGTAATATTTAGTGAATTTGATTGTCTTCACTGCAACATACAAGTATATGTTAAAATTTTTAACTACCCTCCAATATAACTAATATCACAATGATTCCACTATTCTGCACCATACTGTCCTAAAAAACAATTTTGCAATTCTGTGCTTCAATAAAACCATGTTCAAGAGCATATCAATATCACTAAATAGAAAGATATCGAACTGTGATTGCTTGAACTTTAACCTGATACAAAGAGACAACTGTATGTACAAAAAGTCACTTGTACCAAACGTACATAAATCAGTAGTGTTATACAAGCATGCCATTTCCATTAAGCAATTCATTCCACAGTTGCGTCAAACAATTAACGTTACAATGCGTAATAACAATCAAATTCAGACAGTATAACTGGTGTTCTTTTCAATGAGAAATCACCTAGCTAAATTTCTATCAAAAACGTTCCCAGAGATCGCTGCCAAGAAGCGGATAGAAATCAAGATTTGAAGTAAGAATGGCTTCATTTCTGAACGTAATTCAATAAATATTCAGGAAAAAAAAAAGATCAGAAATTTATCCATATATTAAAAATCAAGTGAACAGAAAGCTTCCTTCTAGGACTAACTACAGTTTACTCTTGTTCCAGCATGACTCGCACAATTACAGTAGGTAGTAATTGAATAACCCAATGCTTAGCAAATGTTAAGTAGTAATTTAACCACAAAAAATAAGTTGACAAAAATTTCTTCAAAAGTAAGTACATGAAAAATACGACATTTACAAATTAACCCATAGACAAAGCAGTTCCCATTTTCACTTACCAAAAATATTCTGGTCCAACATCAAATAATCCTTCTTTTATTACAATGAACAATGGAAAAAGATCAAATCTACGTGTATGGATTAAAAAGACAAAACAAGAAAATATAAAAAGAGCTCAAGTATTATGTGTTAAAACTTCAGTTTTATTTTAATATTCTATTATGGAGGGCAATTTTTTTTTTTTATTTGGTAAATGAAGAGAAAATATATTTGTTTTTTGATTCATTATTCAAACCCATAATCACAATTAACCTAGTTTAAGAAAGAAAAAAAAAAGTTAAATTTGAAAAACCAAACCAGCAGATGATATATTGTCACCTCCTCCTCCAGTCTGTAAGACTTCAGTACACACCAATACTGGAGCCACACACACTTCCCTGTCTCCTTCGTCCCAGCAAGAAACGGGTCTGCTAGATTTAACGGGGATCCGTTTTGCATCATTTCTCAGGGAGCTAGTAAAGGCATCATCCAGAATCAACTTGGCTTTAGCAGTATCAATTCTATGTGAGCCACAGGTGTGGCGGTGAGCCGTCAGTGCGGCTTTGGCTGCTGCCGACATTGTGTTCTTCCACGAGGAGTCTTTCTCCGTCATGATGGCCTGGAAAGCCAGCGTGTGAACGTGGAGACGAGTTAGTTTTCTTTGGCCACTTCTCTTCCATGTTTCTTGGAGAATACTGAATTTCAATACAAATCACATTTTTTAAACTTTTTCATACCATCTACATCCACGGACACACAGAAGTAAAATAAATGAAAAATGTATGAAAATAACAACTTCTCAAGTATCATAGACTAGTTTCTTTAAGACATCCTTGAATTTTCCATCAGTTTATAATACTAAACAGCTAATAATAATTACCACTACTGTCAGTCTCACACTCATGTAAATTAATATAGGTCTAAAAACTGCATAAAAGACAATGTAAGATATTGTTCTTTCTTTTGTTATTAAATTCCTAATGACCTCGTTATCTGTTAATTGTATACCCTGCTTTGTGAAAAATAATAATTGACTCATTTAACTGATTACGTACTCGTGTCTTTAAATTTCAAAGCCAAAAATCCATAAAAAAGTGGAAATGTGTCTAATTCCAGGGTCTTGAATATCTCCTCTCTTAGGCAAAATCCTAAAGTAAGTTAGCCCATGTACACTGCCAAACAGTTTCCATTTATAGCAATCAAGTTGCCAACTCTGGGTGATGTATGCTAACACTCCACTAAAATGTATCAGTTCTAAAAGTCTAATATTAATTTGAATGATTCAACTTTTCCACAGCAGAGGGAAAGGAATGTTTATTTGATGACCGGATGAAGAAATTGTACGTGTGTGCTACTAATGCATTACCTAGAGATTAGAAGGTATAATACTTCAATAAATATTTTGTCCTGTCCATTTGGTCTTGACTATGAAGTGTACAAGGTGTGCAGAAACATTTCCTCCAGCACTTGTCTGGATAGCCTATCAAAATTAACCATGGATTGCAACAGTGGGTCCAGATAGACTGCCAAACTTACCCTGGGATAGCAACAGTAGGTCCAGACAGCTAGTCAAAATTACCCCGAGATAGTAACCATGGGCCCAGACAGCTAGTCAAAATTACTGAGATAATAACCATGAGTCCAGACAGCTAGTCAAAATAACCCTGAGATAGTAACCACAAGTCCATACATCTAGTCAAAATTACCCTGAGATAGTAACCATGGGCCCAGACAGCCTGTCAAAATTACCCTCGGATAGCACCTTTGGGTCCAAATAGTCTGACAAACTTACCCTGGGATAGCAAATGTGGGTCCAGACAGTCTGACAAAACTACCCTGGAAATTACAATCATGGATACAATCACTCTATGAATATAACACAGGAATGCAAACTATATATCCACATATTCTGTCAAAATAACACTAAAAAATGACAGTCTGTCAAATGAAACTGGGATGGAAACCATGTTCCCAAATAGTTTATGAAAAGGACAACAACACTGGGATGGCAACCGTACTTATCTCCAGAACAAAGTAACATACACTCTTTACCCAAGATCACATACATTTCAAGTTTCAGAAAATTCACTAATTTTAGTGCAGGTAAGTCAGATTTTTGCACTACCACGAGCTCTTGATTTAAATTCCAGTGTACCTTAAGTACTGTATGATAACAAATATTTTATATAGAATCCAGACACTTTTAATGAATCACCAAGAGCTTTATAAGTAAATCCTCACTATTTTTATCATATAAAAAAATTAAATCACCAAACCAAACTTACTCAAAAACATCTCTCATCTGATCAAGCACAGTAGCGACTCTTGGTGTGGCCTCGGAGATCAGGGTCACATTGCCATATTTAAGAATATGATAGAAATTAGGCAGTTCTTGCTCATTCATTCCAAGAGAGTCTGCAAAAGGTATGATAAGATCCACTATATCGTGTAACAGCGCTTCTTCTGTGAAAGAAGCCATTTCAAAGTGGACTTTGGTATCTTGGGGCAGTCGTGAACATATTTCGCTTACTTGCATGAGTTTTTCTCGTCTCAATTCTGTACAAATATGAGACGTATAACTAATTATCCCAAAACAATAAAGACAATTTCTGCTAAAACGTTTTATGATAGACTGTTCAACAACAATTTTGACAAAATTAAACACACAACAACTCAACAAATTACAAGTAAAAGGTAATTTTTTTTAGACCACAATGTAATTTCCTGCAGTACAATAAGCCATTACATAAGATTTGTTAACTTTGACAAAAAAAAAAAAAGACGACAAAAACAGAGTACTATCCATTTAAAGAAAGAGTTATTCTTACTTTCCCAAAAGAAAATGGTACGTTCTTCTTGCTTTCAGTTAGTGCTACTACTGTTACAGTTTTTATTGTTATGTTTGTTTCATGATTTCACTCAAAATGCTCACAAAAAGCAAACTTAGTAAATGTAAATAACTTTGGTTACATTTTAATGAGTGAAAATATTAGAGAAAAAAATATTCTTGGGCAGAGATATCTCCCTACACCTCACCTAGACAGTTGATGGTAAGTCTAGGCGAGTCAAAAATCAGGAAAAAAAAAGGTACTTAAATTTCCTTGAAGACAAACCGTGGAAAGCCGTATGAGAAATATCCGTAGACAAATTACAATTTATCGTAAATTAAAAAATTACATTATTTCAATGGTGTGAAATATTTAACACATTTTTAATGTCATCATAGTGAAAAGTCAAAATCTAGGAAAAGAAGATGCTTGAAATATAGCAGTGAACTCCCACTACACACAGAAGATCATGCTGAAGTTTATTTTCCTTGAAAAGGTTTTTTTTTTTGCACGACAGTGAAGTGAAGAAGATGAAAAGGCATTATATAAGCCTTACAATGATATTCTGAAACTTTTTTATGTTCAGTTTTTAAGAAGTATAATTTTTCTTCAGAAGTCTTCAGTTCTATGTTTTAATATAAATTCATAACTTCATGTACTGTTGCCTAGGAGAACAACACAGCATCTTAAAAAATAACAGAAATAATTTTTCAAAACACATTCACTGCATACCAGATTTTAATGGACGTAAATTTGATTTTTATTAGATGTTGTCTCTTAGATTTATCTGTCTTCGGCATTTATTTGTGTTATTTTTTATCTTGCTCCTAAACTTTTTGATAAAATTTCAAGATGACCAGCCAATAGCATTAAACTTATCAAACCTACTAGCCAATAGCACTGAACTTATCTAGACAAGTGACCAATAGCATCAGACTTATGAAACCGAGTGGCCAATAACATTAGAATTATAATTATGGTGTTATCCTAGAGCTGCAAGGTTGTTTGAACATATTTTTTCAACCAAAAGGTTAATCAAAGATTCTATTATAACTAATCATTCAAATTCTTAACATAATACAAGTTTAAAAAAATCTTAGAAATTACAGTTAAAGACATCAATTTCCACCAGAGCTCCTTAAAATTCCAAGAGTGGATTTAGAAAAAAAAAATTAAATACTGTCATCAGCACAGTCAATGAGGATTTCATTCGCTTAGATCATGTAGCAAAGTTACTTTCAAGCCAAAGTGATTCAACGATGAGCATGCAAATTTATGTACTTTAAAAGAAATTTCCATTGGAGATTGACAGACTGCTCTAATTGGTCAATAGAATGCACTCAACTAAACCAATCAGTAGCGATGTTACATGAATATTCACCATGACAGAGCAGGTGTAACATATAATTTATTTCTTCATGATATTTCACACGAGGTCGACCAATATCATATATACATACATGTGATTTTCCAGTTCAGTAGAACGCGATAACTTTTTGGCAGTTTGATTTTGGTGATCAAAATAAAGAATCAAAGATGTCATCAACGAGTACTACAAAAAATAATTTTTGTTCTGAGGAGAACAATTTATAGCTTTCCTTGTATATATATATATATATATTAAAATGAAAGACTGTAGTTTAAAAAGTTATGGCTTAGAAACCTGACATAAAACCTAAAATGAATTTCAGTTAGTCTACCAAATTGTAGTACAAAAAAGGAACTGACATTTTGCTAGCACTAATAAAAAAATTGTGAATTACAATAATTTACTTAATGACTTTAAAATTCTTGGAGACACAATGGTGATGTGCTTTGGGTTTTTAATTTATTTTTTTTACAAGTAATTTTAACTTTAATATTATAGGAAAATATGTGGTAAAAAATCAAATTTGAAACTGGTCCTAAATCAAACATGCACCATTTCAGTACAAGCTACATTATTATATGTACACTACTTTCAATTTGGAAAAAGCAAAAAATTTTATTTAAAATGTGTAAAAGTTTCTGGTTTGCTACATGTAGTGTTTCCGACAATGACGTACTTACGGGGCTGAAATGGAAAGTTGTCCATCATTTGCAAACCTCCTACAACAAGCAAGTTGGGATTAAAAGTTTCTAGATGTTTAACAAAGCCATGAATGGACATCAGATGAGGGTTACTATGGTCATTATGTACAATAAACCTGTTAGCAAAACAGCAAAAATCATTGGTTATAAAATGAATAAACAAAACCATGCTCTTTAGTGAAGTCCACACTGTATAAAAGCCTTAGTTTTTAATGTGTGACCTTTGTTAGAATCAAAATAAAAAATTCAAAATGTTATTCACACAGCTTTTATTGCAAATATACAGTAACTCTCCCATTTATGTCAGAGATATGCTGCTAAAAAATACAACGTTAGGCAGTTCGATGTAAATTGGACTGACTTAGTGTTATAAAGGGAAAGATGCATTCCTAGAGACTAATTTTAAAACATTTAATCTAACCCAACATAAAGACGTAGAAAATAAATAAATCAATACTGAACACTCGTGTTTAAGGGTCTTAGGAAAGTTCAGTGTAAAAATAATTATAGGGAATATTACTCAATATTGGCCGATAGCATAAACAATATGCAATTGAGGCCGAGGAAGTGCAGGCAGGCTGGTTTTGACTGGACTCCCAGGAGTAGAAAAATACCTACACAATGCACCTACTTGTTGTCATGACACAGCATGATTTGAATTTTTTGTTTTTGGCACCGTAAGCCAGACTTAACCCACTTATTTCAGATATTGTTCCCTAATTTCTTAATGACTTCATATGAATCGACGTACATGGGAGAGTTACTATCTCACACAAACAAAGGGCTAATATAAACAGTGTTTACCAAAACTATTTACTTGTACATCATGCTAGTACACACAACTATTTACAAGATGCAAATACAAGTAATATGACAGCATGTTACACATAGCTCAAACCACTCTCAATATTATAAATTTAAATTAAAAACTCCAATACTATTTACCACAGGATGGTAAATTTTATCACCATTTATACACATGATTAAACAGTAAAAGCACACAAGAAACCAAAAACTAACTTTGAAAAATTGTTTGTTTCATGTGAGAATTTTGAAAGAAGAGTGACAAGTACAATGGTATGATATTTTACAGACTACACGTTTTTAGCAGATAACCAAGGAAATCAATCCTTTTGTTTCAATGTTAGTATAATGTTATAAACATGTAAAAAAAGACCTGTTTTCAGCAGATAACCATGGAAATCAATCCTCTTGTTTCAATGTTAGTATCATGTTATCATTCATGATGCTAGTAAAACATTGAACACAAAGAAACAGAACCCTAAAACCTTTCGAAAGATGGACTTTGTGAACGTGCTCGGGTTATAGGGCTTCACATCTTTGTGTAAAATTCATTATGCTGTAAAATTTCCAAAAACTTGTTGAATGAAACTGAAAAAAACGTTAAAAATACTTTGTTTTGTCTTAGAAATTTAATATATTTTAGTGTTCATCAGAATGTTGCAACCTGATTAACATTCACAGACATATTTCTCTTGACACATCATTTTACCAATTCCAGTGGTCCCCACTTCTGGCTGTATTTTGTAAACAACAAAGTGAAAACTGAAAAATACTTATTAGGGACCTTCATGTTACAAGAGCTTAAGTGAGATATCAATAAATTCCTGAAAAATAAAGGACAGATTTTAATTTTTTTTCTCAAGGGTATGTGTGTGTGTGCAAGGACAAATTCGAAAGACCAAATAGGCCCTTGTTATACATATGATACAGTAAGGCAAATTAAGGGCACAAAGAACTTTTATCAAAGACAAAATTTGGAGACACACAAGAATGAATACACAATACAAGATAGCTAGTCAAACTGAACTCTATATAACTGTGCTACCTCTGATGACAAACGTAAGAATAAGAATGAATACACAATACAAGATAGTTGGTCAACCTCAACTCTATATAACTGTGCTACCTCTGACGACAAACGCACTACATTTACCTCACTGAGATTAACCCCATTAGCACTTTAAACCCATTAATCACTAAACCATAAAGACTGCAACATCATCTATTCAAGACGTGGAAAAACCAATGACTTCCTTAGACAAACTAGAGGGGCATTCAGTACAGCACATACTCTTGCCATGCAACGTTGATCATATTTAACCCTCAAAAAAATACTAAAATCTGTCCGTATGTCAGTCATTATTAATGGACATGGACCATTTCTGACAAGACAATGAGGAATAACATTCTACATGTGTCCACCAAGATTCATCAAAATCTGATAACTTTTGACTGAGTTACAGAGCAAAAATAGTGTGAAAAATAGGTCCCATGTTAACGGATAAGGATTTTTTTAATTCTCGTGAACTTGCTGCGACTTGACCCTCCAAACACTAATCACTTCTAAGCTGGGTCATAGTACAAATGTATTCCAACTTTCATCCAAATCCATTCAGCTGTTTTCAAGAAATCTTAATGGCAAACACTCACACACATAGGGGTGAAAACATAGCCTCCGTCACCTTCGGTGGCAGAGGTAATACACAAGGTAAAGCAAGCCGTACGGAGTAAAGAAACAACACTAGATCCAGTATAAATGAACCAAGTTTAAACTTCAACATAAATAAAAAAGAGGCTATAGTTTTCTAGTAATTATAAAGGAGAGGGGGTGTTTGATAATAAAAATATATTTTCACCTCAAAGTTACATCCCCCAATGCACATACAAAAATTTATAAAGTATAGTAAATATACAACTAAGAAATATATCAGAAAGACAACAACAATAGTCAGAAAAATAGACACGTCATTAAAATTACATGCCACTTCAATCTGAAATACAAACTCAACAGGCTGACTGCAGTAACAAAATGTACATGATAAAAAAATTAATTTGATTAAACCTTTCATTGAAATTAAAATTAGTTTCTCCACAACACACACACATAATAATAATAGAAAAAATACAAATTTCAGAAATACATCATGAATATACCCTCCTTTTCCTGGACATGTTTGAAAATGTAAGTTTTAGTTGACATACAAACATCTAATCTTTCCCTTGTCAAACTAACCTCATTTTCATAAAGCAGCCTTACTTGTAAAGCTCTAGATAATAAATATGGACCCATATCTTTACCTGACTAACGACTCCACTTTCAAAATGCATCCTTACCTATTTGCTCGAGATGCTAAATACGGACCCCATCTTTCTCCTGCCAAATACTCCAGTAAAATATGGATGTCATCTTCTTCTGTGAAGGGACCAGAAATAATAACTTCATCTGGTAAAAACTGTTTCAGTCCTTTTGTCATCTGTGCCCCAAGAAGAACATCACAGCCTTCTTTAGCAAATCTTGCTGCCATAACAGGTGCATTTCCTCCAATAGCCCAGTGCACATCATTTGCCCTACTTGCCAGTTCTAGCACTTCTTTAAAAAGTGTTTCATTCTTTATATACCTCCTAATAAAAATTAAAACATAACTGAAAGACTACAACAGCTTCTTAAAACATAAAATCTCTATTTGGGCAAAATCAACTTTGAACAATCAATGAACAATGCACACGCAGGTATTAGAAAGACAGAAAATAACTGTTCTAGCACAGTTAAATATTTAAGACAATATTATATGATGCATAACTTATTAAGAGTCTTATCACTGTTTAAATAAAACAAGTCATCTAATTAACATTTGTCAGTTAACAATGATATCCAGAAACACAACACTACACTTTGGCAATTATTTACAATAAACATCTTATTAATATTAAATTTCCAATCCGACATCATCAGTAACATATTGTTTGAGTAATAAAAGTAAAGGAAAAAGATTAAAGTAACAAGTTACAGGAAACATGAAATAAAATGTTAACATTGAAATAACGGTGCCAAAACTGATTTCAATAAAATAGTTTATTAGTTTCCATATTTAAAACATTCTTTCAGTTTCAAGTATTAAGATATTTGGTGACAGTCTGTTAATCCGAGGGCCAACAGTATGAATTTTTTTTTTTCAAATAGTTACATGGATTGTTTGGTTAAATTTGTGAAATTTTATGACAAAAACACCCCAGGATATACCTAAAAGGTTGCAATTTCTCATGAATGAATGGATAATGTTTATCATTACTTCCCTGATGTTATTTTCTTGTATGTGTGTATAGTTTTAGCAAAGCCCACTGGATCGTATTTAGGAATCTAGCTGTGAGAATGGACATTCAAGATTCTTATTCCATAGTGCTGTGAAAACGAATGTTATGTCCCTTACTCATTAAACATGATGAAAGCTTCCAGTCAGTAAAACTATCTTGACACCAAGGCAATGCAATGAGCTGTACACAACAATTAAAACGAGAGTAAGTTGTTAGGGGTAGCTGATCCTTTAAACCCCCGCCACGATGTACCCATTAACTTTAAAGTTTAAATTTTAACTTTTCATTTGAGATTGTATTCATTTATTATGGACCTAAGAATTTGTTTAATCATTCAATTTTTGACACACACACACACATATATATATATATATATATATATATATATTGCGAAAAGCAAAAATCTGTGATTATCGGGTCTTTTGAATACTGGGCGGTCACAGGTATTCGCACTCGAAAACCAAGACTGACAGTGAAACTGTACAGTGTGGGGTAGGCGAGGGCTGGATTAGTGTTACTATTAGTTATACTTATAGTATACTAAGTAATACAAATATATATAGTTTCAAACACATTAAATTAGCTTACTCTGCTGCAGCACCATGTCGAAAAAAATAGGCAAATACTTTCAGAAGTTCGTCCTGCGTAGAAATGGAATGAAAATGTTCAGGAATCTTAGGTGGTGGATTGAAAAGTAAAACATCTTTGCTGTGCACAAAAAGATCTTGGCATGACCCAAAACCTACTGCCACTTTAGGTTTGTAGCTAAGAGAAACCTTTTTTTCAGCCCTTAAAAGTCCATTCAGTGTTTCTTCGAGTCTTTGCTCAAAATCACTATGTCCATTTTGATTAAAATAAAATGCTATTAATACAAGTAATACAGAAAATAGACTACCAATTGAAACTTTCGCCGACGTCGACGCCATTATGTAATGTATACTCTCACAAATATTTCACTAGAGGGCACTTGAATATTAAGCTCAGAAAAAAAAAAAACATTATAAACAATGCATTATTTTTTATGACGACGAACTCCCTTTCGTAGAGAATAAAGTTTGGAGACGGCTTGAATGGATAGTGAAAGAAACTTTGTTAGAAATGTACAATATTTCGAAAAGCTTTTGTCATCAGCAGAATTATTATAGTGTATCCTCTTCGTTCGTTTGTTTCATAACTATTTGTTGTTAAGCGTCAGGGGTGGAGGAGGCAATTTTGGATTGGTCAGGCAACTCAGAATAATATGCAAAGCATACCACTGCTAGGGGGATTTGGGGATATACTCTCCAGGAAATTTTTGAAAAATAAGTACTCTGAAATTGAATTTTGGGCTAACTTTACTGTAATTTATTGAAAGTATTAATCATTTGCAAACACTTCTTTATGATTCATAAAAATAGGTGCTCACTGGCACTTATATTCACCATAGCTATAGCAAGCACAAACTTGCTGTACTAATTCATACATACATACTACTATAAGTCTATCTATTTACCCAGAAACATTTTATGAAGTGCAAGTTAAAGTTTAAAAAGTCCTACAGTTACTGTGACAAAATGTTAGTCCTACTATTGCCCGGTCTACCGGACCTACCCCGGCGCATTTGAGCACAAAGCTAAACGAAGGGCTATCTGCGCTGTGCCAATCATATGTATCTAATCCTGATTTTTAGCGCTATAAGCCCTCAAGCTTACTGCTAAGCCATGTCACAGGAGGAGCCTCTTCGCCGACATCACATATTTCGTTAAAATTAATAAAGCACAACATTACGTGCGGGCAATGTAAAATTGAATCTCATAAATTTTCGAATATTCTTCTTAATAATAACATTATTGTATTATATATTTTTGTACTTTAACATAATGCATACTAATAGTACAACATTTTCTATAGGTTCTGAAATCGCCTAGCAGTGGATCATAAGTCAAGACAACAAATTCTACTTTAAAAAAAAACTTTTCTATTGAGCACAAATTATATTTACATTTTATAGGTCTTTCACTAGTCGGATTAGCTTTGTCTTTTTCCAAACTGCACCATTTCTTAACTTTACTTTTTGAATACTTTATGTGTTACTTTACTATATTTGTAACCTCTCACATAAAAACAAATATTGCTAGTGCAATAACCTACCTTTGATATACTTAAGATTTGCTTATGGACATGACATGGCTTGGTGGCTAGGGTGCTCGACTCGCAATCTAAGGGTCACGGGTTCGAATTCCTGTCACTGAACATTCTAGCCTCTTCAGCTGTGGGAGCGTTATAATGTTACGGTCAGTCCCACTATTCGTTGGTAAAAGAGTAGCCCAAGAGTTGACAGTGGGTGGTGTTGACTAGTTGCCTTCCATCTCGTCTATCACTGGTAAGTTAGGGACGGCTAGCGCAGATAGCCCTCGTGTAGTTTTGCGCGAAATTCAAAACAAAACAAACCGCTTATAGATAACCAGAATACTTAATTGTTCTTATTATAATGCATTACACAGAGTAACAAAAGTCGTTTTATAGGCTAAGTTTTATAATATAATGAACATGAGCTACTAGAACAGGGGTGTGCCCCCATTGGAAAACTCTGACCCTCCTCGAGCAACATATGAGATCGTTCGTTCTTTTCGTGGTAGTTATTTAGATATAACACCAAGGTTTTTAAGCTCTTCTAGCATTTGAACTTCCACTGACACGAAAGTATAAATTTGTTTTTGGTTTTGTTTTCTGGCGGGAATGGTAGAAATACTATGTAACTTGAACCGAAAGAAGTATCTTCAATCGAATTAGACCTGAGGATGAGTTTTATGATGATTTGAAACAATGTATGACCACTGTGAAGCTGGTTCGTTTTTTATAATTAAAAAAAAATAATTAAACACTTATTAAAAAGAGAACAAAAACCATTTCTTTTGTATTTGATACCACTTGACCCTCCCGTTTGATACACATCCTGTCCACCCCAACTAACTCCTTTGCCTCCATTCTTCCACCCTACCCCAAAATAAAAAACCTAGAATCGTCACTGTGCTAAAATCATTTCAAGAATATGAGCTTTATCACCATTACGAAAATTAAAGAAAAAACACAGTATTAAGTGTTTTAAACCTTGAGATACGCTGAAAACTTACAAATACCAAGACTGTCTTTTATCTTATGTTACTATTTTAGTTAATATTAGGATTATTTAGCAGAATAACTACCAAGTTCACAGTACAAAAGACTCCAAAACCCCAGCAGTTTCGCAAGATTTATCTTCCTTATTCCAGTCTATCTTCGCTAACCGCTCTGGTTATCTGATTTATTGTATTGCTTGTGTTTTTAATCCCACGGTATTTTTCATAGCTAGTCAACAGTATAGGAGAAATATATTTGCATATGTTAATTACTTCAGAGTACATAACATTTTATGAAGCAGATTTGAAAACATCGCACTTTGTTTTTATGTAATCATAAATAAAACTATTTTGAATGGTCCCGGAAGCGAAATAGCTTTCTCGCGAAGCTTTCATACAGATATTAGTATTATTATTTTATTATTGTTGCTATTAAACAGTGTTATGGTAGGTGAACCAGACCATTTCATCAACTTAAAAGAAACTTTTTGCCATATAAGTAACATTATAGTATGCAAGTTTACCAGATGTCTCCTTCTTCTTAGTTAAGATATATATATTTCTGAGTATTTCAAGCATGTGTTATTAATGTAAAAAGTTAGTTAAGGGAGCCACAAAGTTCCTTTCGTCTTAGTTACTTTAGAAACTAGGTCATTCAATTAGGGTATCACGTGTACTTTCTAATTGGAAAAATTGCTGTAACATAGCACTTACTGTATAGATATTGATAGTAATTTTTTTCCACTGGCAAGTCATACTATGCCCAAGTGACATGACACAACTTGTTTTGCAATGAAAGTCACGTGTATGGCGCCTGCTCTGAGGTGAATGGTATTTTTGTTCTTCCTATATAACGAAATGTTTTCCCAGTCTGCAATAAGACTGAAGATTACACGATTTAAGATTTTAATGATAATAGGTAAAAAATAGTTGTTGACGATATTGCAAACAAGATCTCTTAGATTATTTTTTTAATGTAAAAATTAAATAGCATTACAAATATTACTTGCATAGATTTCACCCCATTAGATAATTTGCCGAATTTTATGGTAGAACGTAGTCCAACAAAAGTGTAAGATTTATTTTATATTCCTATATGATTGGTAAGTATTTGACAAATTTTGTTCTTACACAGCTCTACCAGACATGTTCTGTGGTAAAGATAACTTTTTACTTATGAAATAAGGATCAAGTAGGGTTAAAGGCCCACTTGATTGGGTCTAAGATCCCAAGATTAATTAATAATATTGAACCCTTATGAAAACAAAAAGTACTGCACATCATACTATCTGTAATTCAATAACTCATTTAGGTATAGCGCCATCTGGCGGCGCATCTGAACTCCAGGGGTAACTACTCCCACTTTTATTCTGCAGTAACCTTTTTTTTGTGCATCTACTACCTTAAATTTGTATTTTAGTAATAGATTATAAACTGCAGCTTCTTATTTGCTTAAATTCATTAGTCTCTGTATTATGCAGATCTATTTACATGCTCACTAATTTTGGTTAAATATATTTAAAAAACTACATGTGTGTTGCTTGTATGTTGCTTCTGTGATAAAAATAGTTCATACCCTTATTTTTTTGTTATTGTTATAGATACGTATAAAATTAATTACTACTTTCCATCTATATATGGATAAATACAGAAAATGGGCCCAAAATACTTATTATTCATTGATCATTTGGAATAACATGGGTCTTCACGAAATTAAAACAAAAAAGCCCTGAAATGGTAAGAAGAACAATTTCTGTAAACCAAGCTAGGTTGTAATGTTACCTGGACGAAACTTATCTTAATTATATATCAAACCAAGCTAGGTTGTAATGTTGCCTGGGCGAAACTTACCTTAATTATATATCAAACCAAGCTAGGTTGTTATGTTGCCTGGGCGAAACTTACCTTAATTATATATCAAACCAAGCTAGGTTGTTATGTTGCCTGGGCGAAACTTACCTTAATTATATCTGTAAACCAAGCTAGGTTGTTAGTTAAAATTACAGATTTTTTTAAAATACATTTTTTGAGCTACTAACTTTGGTGATATTGTTTTTATACTGTGAAACTCTTGATTGATCCTTCGAACCTTACCATGTTATTATTACTTTTTAAAATGTTATTTCACTTTAACACTACTAAACTTCAAAACTAAAAATACGAAAAAAACTGTTGGCTTTTTTTATTAACTTTTCTTTTTGGCCAGATTGTGCACATTAGTTTGAGTATTGTTAAGTTCAGAGCTATCTGTGCTCCTCCCACCAAAGGTATCGAAACCCGAATTTTAAAGTCATAAGCCTGCAGACTTACCGCCGAGTCATTAGGAAGCAAAGTGCGGGACGTATTATTATTATTACGGTGGAATCACAGAACTTTGGGGACGCTCGACTCGCAATCTGCGGGTCGCGGGTTTGCATCCCCGTCCCACCAAACATGCTCGCCCTTTCAGCAGTGGGGGCGTTATAATGTGACGGTCAATCCCACTATTCGTTGGTAAAAGAGTAGCCCAAGAGTTGGCGGTTGGGGT